CATTTTGGTAGGTTTTACACATGCCCATTGACAATTGCAAAGGTTAATTTACTTTGAGCTTAAATAGCTACTAGCTTCAAGGAAAGCTATATTGGCCTCTGGTTCTCCAATTACACTTTATCTTTCTCTAGATTGATTCTTTTTAATTCTACAGAAACTTGCAAATTTGTTCCTCTGTGGTAGGCCTCGCTACCTTTAGGATTTAACTTCATAATTCACTGATTGAATATCAGTCAAACAAGGTAGGCAGAGCCAAGCACATACAGGGTCAATCTTTAGAGAGCCCAGGGCAGTACCTGGTGGGAATTAAACTTGAATTTTCCTGACTCTTTTTTATTTCTTTTTAAGGTCTTTGACTGTACAGTCTTGGTTTCCCTGTACCTTCCTCGGTTACTAGTCTCGCACCCCTCTTCAATATCTTTTTCCTACCTGTGTCCCCGAAGATAGAGCCCTTGCCTTGTTCTTTTCTGACAAAATGCTTTCTTTTGGGAAAGACCATTCATTCTTACAGTGAAAGTCATACGATTTGGGGAAGCTAAAGATTCCCAAAGCTGTGGTCCAGCCCAGCCCTCCATCCCGAGCAGGAATCCTGCCTTCCAAAGGCCCCAGCCTCCCCTCCCCACTGTCCCGGAGACACTTCAGCACAGCCGCATCCAGGCCTCCACCTTTCCCTCACCTTTTCCCAACGCAGCTGCGGGCCATGACAGCCACCAAGCCACTCGGAGTCAAACAACTGTGAAGTCACAACAGCAGTGAAATAGCCTACACGTATGTTCTCATAGCGAACCCGTGACGTGGATAAAGCAGACATCATTCTTCCCAGTGTACGGGGGAAGAAACAGATTCAGAGTGTTAAAGTATCACAGCCACGCAAAGAAGTGGCAGATTTTCACTGTTTAAAACTGTCTTCCCTAAAAACAAAAGAAGCAGAAATACATAAATAAAAGTATCCAAAAGGGGAGGAGAGCAGAGACAAAACTAAATATCCAACCTCAATAAACCGCTTTAATATTCGGTCAAACGTGTTTTTACTGAACAATGAAATACATGAGGACATTTCCACATGTGAGATATTATTCAGCTGTTAAGAAAAACTAATTGAAGAACATTTGATGACACTGAGAAATGGTCACATTATAATGTTGTGCAACGAACGAGGGCTCAGTCACCCACGACATCAGTTTTGCTGTCTGTGTGTCTATTCATGAACATGCGTGCACACACACGCACACCCCTTTGTATATGGAGAAGGGGAGAGAGCTCCCCTCATACTCATACATGTAAACACTTAAAAACATTTTTTTTCATGTTCAAAGAAAATAAGCCACTCTCTGTGATGAGTGTATAGGAACTTCCTTCTTCATACTCTTCCGGATTTTTCCTCGGTGAGTCCATGGAGCTTTCAGCAGGGAACATGCTGTCCAAGCAGCAACCAAGTGAAATCTGGTAGCCTGTTCCACTTTCTGTTGCGACAAGTGTTCCAGCTAGCGTTACAGCTCTTGTTATAGCCTTTGTTATAGCGCTTGACCAAGGAAAGAACTGAGCAGCACACGGAGAGACACACGGAAAAGTCTTTACTCCTCCAGCAGGCCCAACCGACTTCTGACCCCCCCCCCTTCCTTAGTCTCCTCCTGCTCTTATACCCTTGGTAGGACTCAAAAAGTGTCCAATCAGCAACAAGCTTTAACATCCAATCAGCAACAAGCTTTAACATCCAATCAGCAACAAGCTTTAACATCCAATCAGCAACAAGCTTTAACAGGGCTCAACGGTTTTTCCCTATCACTTCCACAGCCCCGTCCAGGTTCCCTCCATCCTCCTCCTTAAACTTGCTTTTCCTTTGGTTCACGGTGCTCCTCCTCCCCAAGAACAGTGGCCCTCCTCAGTGGCCCTTTCACGGCTCCTCCCAGGCCCCCCTCCTTGGGTACTCAACCTTCACCAGGCCCTCCTCCCAGCCGCCTGGCCGGCCTCAGGTGAGTGATGAGCTTGTAGATTTGGGTGCGACAGACCAGCCCGGGGCACTGGAGCCTCCCAGGCCGCCCAGACCTGTGGGCTGGGTTGTGGACACAGCCGTCTCTCTGTCCTGAGGCAGAGGCCCAGCAGTGTGGGCCCTGCTCGTCGGACCCTCACTCCTTTCTGTGATCTTCCTCTGCCCTTGACCCCAGGCAAATATGAGTGACTTTCACTTTCCACATTTCATTTACACATATGATTTGTGTTATTGTTGCCTTAAATTAGGAAAAAAAAAAGGCATTGAAAAGTCTGTTATAACAGGATTGTTAGTTTTTAAGGAGTATTGGCTTTGCTGCCACCACTATAATTAGTCCATCATTCCAAAAAAGAGTATTTGTTGAGGAGTTGTGTGATATCAAGTATGGTGTCTATTTCTGAACTTTGATTGAGGATTCCTTGTGCGTCTTGCAAGTGAAAATAAGAATTATGTGGTGGCCCGTATTCTTTCTGCCCCTTCTGTCTTCACCCATTCTGCTCGCCTACCAAAAATGGTAGACTGGTCAAGAAGCTTGTAGGAAAAAGAAGTGCTCACTATCTAGATTCATATATTAATGAGTTTTAACCCATTTTTATATTAGGGCCCCAATGACCCTTAATGCCTGATATTCCCCATCAGCCAGAATTGCCTATCTTCATTTACTTGTTTGGTTTATGTATTCTAAAAATGGTTCATTTTTGCCTTCAGATATAAAATTATAGTAATAGTCACATACCCTATGAAATTTTGCTCAACGATTTACCCCATTCTGTGAAGGTGTCCTGGAGATTATAAAAGGAACTGAAAAATTCCATGCCTGGTGATGTCTTGATGATCCTGACCCTATGTGGGCCTAGGCTCATGTGGGTATTAGTGTCTTAGTTTCTAAGAAAAAAGTTTAAAAATTAAAAAATTTTAAATAGGAAAATCTTGTAGAATAATGGGCATAAAAAAATATTTTTGTACGCCGCACACTATGTGTTTTAAACTAATGTTATTACAAAAGAGCAAAGTTACAAAAATTAAAAGTTTATAAAGCAAAAAATATAGTAAGCTAAGGTATATTTATTTATGGGAGAAACAATAACATTTTTGTAAATTTAGTGGTAGGCAAGTGTACAGTGTTATAAAGTCTACAGGATGTACAGCAATGCCCAGGCCAGGCGTCCTCAAACTACGGCCCATGGGCCACATGTGGGTGTTTTAGCCTGTTGCTTTTTACTTCAAACTAAGATATGTGCAGTGTGCATAGGAATTTGTTTCATAGTTTTTTTTAAACTATAGTCCGGCCTCCAACGGTCTGAGGGACAGTGAACTGGCCCTGTTTAAAAAGTTGAGGACCCTGCCTAGGCCCTCACAATTCACTCACCACTCACTGACTTACCAGAGCAACTTGCCAGTCCTGCAGCTTCATTCAGGTAAGCCCTACACAAGGTACCTTACCTTTATCTTATTTATACTGTAGTTTTACTGTAACTTTCTGTGTCTAGGTATTTTTCAGTACACGAATATCTGCCATTGTGTTACAGTTGCCTAAGGTATTCCGTACTGTAACGTGCTGGACAGGTTTGTAGCCTGGAACAATAGGCTGTAGCATGAGTCCAGAGTGTGTAGCCGGCTCTCCCATCTCGGTTTGTGTGAGTCACTCTATTATGTCACGCAACAGCAAATGGCCTAATGACACATTTCTCAGAACATATCCCTGTTGTTAGTGGCACAGATATATACTGACTATGCTTTCTCACTCTTCCAGAAAATTCTCCCCCATTTAAGAAAACAAGACCACTCTTAGTTTTCAAGTGGAAAGCAGTAAGATTCCCTTATTTAGTTCCCTTATTAGGGAAAGCCATCTTTCCTTACTATTTGCAAGTGAGTGAATACGACCACTGTGATTTTTAAAGGGGAGATCAGAGAATATGACAGGCCGAATGATTGAAGTAGGGGGTGACTCTGGGGAGAAAGCAGGTGTGGGCCAAGAATGATGGACAGCAACATCCTCAGACCAGCAAGCGTGGGGGGAGGCGCGAAGGCTGCTTCCAACACCACCCCCCGCCCCCACCAAGGAGTGAAATCAGTAATGGGCTGGGGAGGTTGGATGGGTGAAGAGATCTGTTTCCAGCCATCCTTGGTGTTTCGTTTTGCTTTATTGTTAAAAAACAGCTCTGCATAAAAATAGCTCTACCAATTGTCATAACCCAGTGGGAGTGTCTGAGCTTGAGCAAAGTATGGAGGAGGGTTGAAGGCAGGTTGGTAATTAGGAGTGGGACATGGTGCAGGCAGAACCAAGCCTAAGCAGGAGCTAAGAGCTGCTGGTCAGATGGCTCAGGAAGTGGGGCTTGGAGTAGGGGTGCTGCAGGCCAGGCCATGCTCTTGAGAGGCACGTGGCCTGCGGCCAGTCTGCCAGTCATCGCTGCCTAGCTTTCTCGGGCCCCTCCACCTGGATGGCCAGGGTGCTCCAGGTGCTCCTCTTGACCATGCTCCAGAGCAACTCCTCCTCCTGACTTCCCCCATCCTCCCCATCTCTCTGGTTCCAGCTCTCTGCCTCGTCGTTGGAGTCTCCCTTCCCAAGGAGCTCTCAGGCTCAGGAGCTCCTTTCCATGTCCTCTCCTTGGGTCCCCACGATTCCCCACAAGCCCTCCAGGTACTAGAAGGAGGAAGGCAGTGGAAACTCCAAGTCCTGTAGCCATTCTTGGAGCTGGTCATGAAACAAGTCTTAAAAGCTTCCAGAAATAAAACCAGGCCCTCACCGATGTGCTAGTTTTCTAATAGCAACCTTGAGCACTAGACAACAGTGGTGCAATGCCTTTGAATTCTCAAGGCGAATCATTTCCAACATAGAGTTCTGGACCCAGACAAACCATCCATCAAGTGTGTGAGTGGAATAAAGTCATGGTATGACATGTTAGATCCCCCAAAAATGACCTTACTATGCGCCCTTCCTTAAATAGCTGCTTAATCAAGAGGCTGCCAACTGAGGCCCCAGGCCAAGTCAGGCCTGCACCAGTTTTTGTGTTTTCTTGTTTAAATGGCTGTGCCTTAAGTGATATATAAGTACCTACACAATGTTGTCTGTTTTGCTTTTGGCCCATTTACTCTCTGGCCCTTTAAGGTGGTTTGCCAAAAAGTGCTCCACTGAGAAGGGGAGTGAGTGAAGGAGGAGGAGCTGTGAGGTCCAGGCAGCAGGAGACCACACGAGAGAGAAGGTGGAAGGATGGAGGAGAACCCAGGATGGCAGCCTACACCCGGCATGGAGGAGAGGTGCCCAGACTTGAGCCAGAGGACAGCAGCTCCAGAGGGGTGTCTCCAAGGAAAAAAATCAAAGCAGTAGATTAGTCAATGTGTTTGAACCTATTGAGGGGAACTTCCTATTCTGCCAGGGACTTTGGAAATCAATTAGCACTGGACAGAAAACTAAACAAGAGGTAAACAAGCAGCCTTTAACTCCTGGGAAAACAAGCTGAATAAGAAAGGAAATGCAGGCATGGAAGCCGTAGAACGCTACATGACTCAGCTGTGAACGATGTCTAAATCTCAGTAATGCAATCGCTGACGTTTGATTTAACCAAATGTTGAAAAAGAACCAAATTGGAAGGTGGCAGGAGAAATGAATAGGAAAGAGAGCTAAATTTTCGCCTTCTATAGTAGGAAGTTAAAAGCAAATAAAACCAAGAACAGTATAAGCATGTTATTTAAATAGACAGAGATAATTATTCATTGAAACAGCTGAAATAATTAAGCAGTTTGCCTCTAAGGAGCCAACATCAGAGGTGGGCCAGAGAATGCTGCATTTTGTGAGCCTTATAGATTTGACTTTTAAAATAATGTACCTGTATTACTTTGAAAATAAATAAATAATAAAATGAGAAAGAAAAGTGACAGGTCAGCCCAGGGGGTGATATGGTGACCAGGGAGAGGGGAGGACACAGTGAGGGACCTCAGGCCCCTGGTTGGAGGAAGCAGGCTTCAGGGTCCCAGGACGTGCCAGCTCTGGTTGTCATTATTGTTCCTGACATGAGCGTGAATGTATTTCAACAAAATGTCGAGACTGAGAGCCATTCACTGAGAGCCATTCACGTACCCAGTGGACGTTCTCTGTTTCAATCCCTGGCTGCAATTGCTGGGAGAATAAACCATGGTTCCTGCCCTCAAGGAGTTCACAGGCTGGTGAGAGATAAAAGTGCTCATCCAGCTAAAGGGTGATTGATTGAATGTACTGGAGGGAAGTGACTGCAGAGAGAAATTGCCCAGCCATCACAAGTCCTTCAAGGGAAGCTCTGGAGGTTGAATAGGAATGGAGCTGGGACAAGGTGAGAGGGGATCCAGGCCCAGGGACAGAACATGCAAAGGCACAGATGGGACCGGGCATGAGAGAGCTGGTACAGTTGAGACCTGCATGTGGCCTGGAGTCGAGGCTTGGGCTTTGTGAGGGTGAGCAGAAGACAGATGATCAGCTCCGTGGCCTGGCTTGCCCTGCTAAGGAGTCTGGACTTTGTCTTGAAGGGTGTGGGAATCCAGTTGAGGATCTCACTGGAGAAGAAGCATCATCAAAGCCTGTTCTCAGCCCAGTGTGGAGAATAGAATGGAAGCTGGTGCAGAGAGATGAGGAAGGAGACAGACGAGTGTTCCAGGCAGAGATGAGGGGCTCTGTACCAAGGTAGGGTGAAGGAAGGTAGGTATGTTTCAAGGTATTAAGGTAGCTGAGTAGACAGTCTGAGGCCCCATAGATGTGGGAGGTGAGGACGAGAAATAAGGCGAGGATGGGCCCCAGGTTCTTGTCTGAATGGGGGACAGGGGACAGAGTCCTGCAGAATACAAGGAGAGGGCCCCGGGGGGTTGGGGAAAGAAACTGGTGGGCAGGCTCAGCACGTGGGCAGGGCTGGCATCTCACACTCAGGGACAGTGTGTGGTGACAGAGGAAAGGGCCCTGCGTGAACTCAGAACACCCAGATTTAAGGCACAGACCGAGCAGAGGAGCCCTGGCGGAGGCCGAGAAGGGCCAGGAGAGGGTCCGTCCTGCCAGCAGCCAGGTGAGCCGAGGACCAGAAGTGCGTGTCTCGGGGGTGCCTTTGGCGTTCTCCGCCCGGGATTAAAGGTAGTTACATACTGTGTTTCCCCGAAAATAAGACAGGGTCTAATATTTATTTTTCCTCAAGAAGACACCCTAGGGCTTATTTTCAGGGGATGTGTTTTTTTTTTTTTTAAGTACGATACCACAATCTACATTTATTCAAATATAGTTAAGTCGTCTTCTTCTGGAACATCATCATAACTCTCCAAACCCCAAATTCCATCCAGAATTTCTTGCGACTCTATTTCCTTTAGAACCATTGGCCCCAATCTCCCTTGTCGAGCAATAGAGCTCTCATGGGGCAGATGAGAAGGGCTGCTCGTCTTCTTTACCTCTCTGCTGCGAAATGCATGGGTTGTGCAGATGCGCTGCGTAGCCACGCCCATCACTAGGTCTTATTTTGGGGCTAGGGCTTATATTGTGCAAATACTTAGAAATCCTGCTAGGGCTTATTTTATGGGTAGGTCTTACTTTCGGGGAAACACGGTATCTACTCCTCCTACTACAGCCTGCAGAACCCCCCACTCATGTGCTGTGACAACGGAAAGTGCCCTCCCACATTTCCAAACGTCCCTCAGGAGCAACCGAAAGACCACTTGGTGACCTTGGCGAGAGCAGTTACCTTCAAGTGTGGGATGAAAGCCAGGGAGGGACAAAACCACAGCTCCCACTGCAGCCGTTGCCTCCTCAGGCCTCTTCCTGGGCTGACCACTCCCTTTTTGTTCTTTGAGGTTCGAATGTATCCTGAGTTCTCACTGCGTGCCAGGGATACCACCGTGAACGTGGCAGTCAAGGTCCCCCTTCCTGCAAGTGCCAGGGGACAAGCAAATGAGGCCAGGTGGGAGGTGCTTGAACAGTCCCTGCCACGGGGGTTTGTCTGGAGGATGCGGGGAGGGAGGGCAGCGGGGCGCGCCTGGGCCTGGAGGGAAGATGCTCAGAGCAAAGTGGGGCGAGGCCGTGGAGAGGACGCGCTGCCTTCTCTTTGGGGCACAGGGGTAGGGCGACAGGGATGTAAGGCCCGCTAAGGGGCTGGCCTTAAGGTTTCAGACACAACTGCCGCACGCAGCTGCGTCAGCTTGCCGGGCTGGGGGCCTGGTGGGGCCGGCAGTCTGCGGTTTGGCCGGTGAGCGCCACGGCCAGCACAGGAAGAGACCTCGGGGGGCGGCCAGCACCACCGCCTGCTCCGTGGCTGGGCGGCATTTTGGAGGGAAGCCACAGCAAAGGAAAGCTGGAGGCACCAAGGTCAAGGCCCAGGTGTTTCAGGGCAAGGGAAAAGCAGGAGACTTTCCGTTTCTGAAGAGCAGGAGGAGCAGAGAGAGTGGTTGGTGGGTGAGAGGGAACCAGCATGGGAGAGGAGGAAGCTGGTGGCCCATCCCACAGGCATGCAGAGCTGTTTTTTCATGCATTAAAAAAAAAAATTCAATTTCCAATACTTAAGGGGATGACTATTAAGTTGAGAATATAAACCAAATTAGCAGAATCATCTAGTGTGCCTCCTCACTTAACAGACTGAGAGAGCAGAACATAGAGAGTGGGCCCGTGGGCACCCAGCAGGCAGGCTGGGGCCAGCAGGGTGAGACTGGCGGCCGGGCTCGCTCCCCACCCCTGCGGCCAGCTCAGCAGTGAGTCAGAACCAGGGCCCAGCTCTCTGGATTTCCCTGTGTTTCGGGAGCAAAGGGACACGACCCTTGACTGGTGCAGAACAGCCATTCTCAGCATCCTTGACTGACCGCTCCTACAGACTTGGTTGGAAAGCAGTGAAACCTTTCGGCGGTACTGTTTTATATGACCATGAAGCAAAAAAAAATTTTATGCTGAGCTATTTACTGCCTCAGAGACAAGTATGGGGAGAGTTTAATTTAGAAAGGAAGTCTCAGAGAAAGACACATTTTTGGGTAACTTCCAGGAAGTCAAGCCTCCGCAGCTAGTTGAGCGGAGTAATTGGGACTTCCCTGGACTCAGAGTGGTCCTATCATAGTAGGGGTCCCAGCAGATCTGAGGGCCCCAACCTTGGGTCACCTTGCAGTACCACCTCCCATCTATGTCCTTCAACACCATCATTCCACAAGCCAGATATTGACCATGGTACCGGCAGATATCCAAAATGTAGCTTGATTCATGTCTCAGATCTCAAATCCACAAACAAAGCCAATTTTACTACAGCAAACACGTAGGGGAAATTATAAGCAATATATCACATGTGCCCCTTTCCTGCTGTTCCACATTCACATTGACGGAAATCCAAGAACGTCATTGTACAAAATTCGTATTTCATTAAAAAAAAAAAATTAAGTAGAACATTGAGCAAGACACAGTGCTGTCTGCCAGATCATCTCCCATCAGCAGTACCTTCTGGTTTCTTCTCCCTCATGTGTTCCGACCTCTCTAGTACAGCTGACAGTTAGTTGGTCTGTTTGTTTGTTTTAAGCTCCCTAAGCTGAGGGTTTATGTGTTGCTGTATTAATTAATTAAAGCACCTTCTAGTAGCCTGTCCTTTAGGCTTAAATACCCACTGCCATGGGCCATGTTTTGGTTATTTTTTCCAATATAGACTGGAGTTTGTTCTGTCTTATTGTCTGCTTTTTAACATTGTAGGTTCTGTATCTGTGCTCCAAAAATTGAAGAATTCCAACAGGACTGATATTTTTATTGCATCAGTCTCTTTACTAATTTCACATATTACAGCATTGGCATGCGCCCACAACCCTGCATGTGGCATCCCACCAGCGTCCTTGTTAGCAGTCTGGTGGCCTGAGCCTGGGGTTTTGGGTGCCTGCCATGGTGCAGAACGGTTTGGGAACAGCAGAGAGGGGACCACCCTATGCTATTCTGATGCCCAACAGCTCCTGAGTATTAAAATAGCTCTAGAGTGTGAAGCAGCGTGGATGGGGAGGCTCCGGGGGTGGCGGGAGGGAGGGGTGCTGCTGCCATGGAGAGAGGGCTCCTGCTGAACTGACAAGCACTGAGGGCGTGGCAGGCAATGCATCTGGCCCTCAGGTGACCCCCGCTGCTGTTTTGGTGAAGGCAGGCAGAGCCCGAGTGGGCCCAGCAGGTGGTTCTGATGAAAGGTATGCAAGTAGCTTTATGGTAAGGACGATAAACATGATGGAAGTACACAGAAGCACACAGAAATTGTTTGTTACTTTCTGCAGACGTTCTATAGCAAAATCTGGAAATAGTTTGAAATCAGGGACTGGGAGAGGAAATGGTGACATATGCTGTCATCAAAAAATGATGATGCAGTACATTTATTGGCCTGGAAAGACATCCTCAGAATGTTGAGTGAGAAAGCGGATGACAAAATAGTGTTAGTTGATCCCATGTTTGTGGATGTTAAAGTGCATAGGCCTGGGAAGATGCCTGGGAGGATGCATGTATGCCAACTGGGAAGCATGCTGGCACTGGGGCATCATTTTCTTCCTTTAGTTTATCTGTTTTTTCTGACTTTTCTTAGTATTCATGTAAAAATTTTTTTAATAAAAGTATTAAAGAAAGAAAATATTTTGAGAAGCAACTCTTCAGTTTCTCTTCTTAAAATAAAACAAGGAGGATAGTATTGAAAATTTTACCAGTGGAGGATGAGAGTGATCTACCTTTCAGAACAACTACTTTGTGGATACTCTAGGGAACGAAAAACAACCTGGAGAGTTTAAGATAGTTGTTAAACTAAATATCATAAGTGTGTGTTGTTTTAGAGGATGATTCCTCTTCTATACCTGAGTAAACATCAAAGAAATTGATTTCTCACCCCATCCACACTCTCAAAATATACACTAGACACAAGTGGCCTTCTAGGTGAGTTTTACTAAAACTGTCAAAAACCAGGTAATTCCACCTTTCACAGTCTCAGAAAATAGAAAAAGAAAGAAAGCTACCTAATCCATTTTATGGCATTACTTCACTGTGACATCAAAATTAGACAAGGACAGTACTAGGAAATGGTTATAGACCAATATCACTTTTGAGCATAGTTGCAAAATGCTAAATACAATATTTGCTAATAGGGTTCACCAGTATATTAAATACTAATACATCATGACCAAGTAGGGCTTATTCTGGGAATGCAATGATGATTTAAATCAAAAAGATTTATAATAATTGGTTAAATTCACATATTAGAAGAGATATGATCATCTCAATAGATACAAAGACAGTGTTTGATAAAGTTGGATATACATTTCTACTTAAAAGCAAACAAAGCCCTAGAAAAATAGGAATAGAAGGAAGATTCCTTAACTTGTTAAGTGGTATCCATCAAAACCCACATCATACTCAGTAGGGAAATTTTAGAGGCAATCCTGTTAAAGTTAGGAACAAAACAGGGATGCTAAATAGCACTGTTACTGTTCAACACTGTGCTGGATACTCCCACCAGTGTAATAAAGCAAGAAAAAGAAATAGGAGGTGGAAGAAAACAATCCTTTTGCGCAGGCAGTGTTGTGCTCATTACCAAAAAATCTAAGAGATGCTACATAAACTATATTATAACTAGAAACAGAACAAAATGTCTGAATTGGAGATAAACATACAGGAACCAGTTGGGTTCCTACGCATCATTAATAACCATTTAGAAACTGTAATAGAAAAAAATAACACTAACAGTAGCACCAAAACTAAGCTACCTAAGAAGTAAATCTGATGAAAAATATGCAAGAGCTTTTTGGTGAGGACTATAAACATTATTGAAGTACACAGAAGAAGATCTGACTAAATGGAGAAATATATTATGTTAATGAACGGGAAGGTTCAATATCACAAAGATACCAGTTTATCTCAGATTAATATAGGGCCTTCATGGCATTTGATCAGATGATCCTGAAATTCATATGGAAGAATACTGAAGACAATTTACAAGCAGAATAAAGAAGGAGGGAGAAGGGACTTCTCTTTGGTCTATTGTGATTTATTACGAGTTATACCAGTTAAGAAAATGTGGTATTGGTACTAAAATAGACCAATTAAACAGAGTAAAAATCTCAGAAACTGGTCTATGCAAGATGGAAACTTAATATGAAAAAAAGAGGCCTACTGTTTCAGTAACAGAAGAATGAATTATTCAACGAAGAGAAAAAATTGTGGAGAGAAAAAGATTCCCAACCTCAAATAATAGGTACAAATAATTTCCAACTAGATTAAAGACCTACATGTGAAAAGCAAAACCTTAAAACTTCTGGAAAATATATGAGAGTCTTTTATCACCTCATGGCAGGAAAGGAATTTTTAAAATGAGATAGAAAAACCACCAACCATCAGAGAAAAGATTGATATTAATACATTTGACTGTGTTAAAATTTAAATTTTCTGTATGACTAAAGACAATGTAATAAATTTTAAAAAGTAATGTTACAGACTGGGAGGAAATGGTTGTAACTCATGTGGTCCGCAGACAATTAGAATCCATGATATATTAAAAACTCCTACAAATTGACAAGACGAAGACATACAATCCAATTGAAAAAAAATGAATAAATTATATGAACAAGCAATTCACAGAAGAGAAAAACCTGAATGCCCAATAAACGCGAAAATATGTTGAATCTCGCTAGCTATCAGGGACATGCATATTAAAACAAGATACCATTTTGTACCTATCAGACTGGCAGAAATTAAAAATCTGGATGACTTGAGGTGTTGATGAGGAAGTGGAACCACAGGAACTCCTACATTGCTGCTGGGAGTGAAAATTAGTGCAATCTCGCTGGAGAGTAATTGGCAACCCTGGCGACAGGACCTGGCAGTCAAGGTCTAGGTGTAGAACCAGGCAGGCTGCCGTGTGTGTGCACAAGGAGACACGCCTTTGGACTCCTTTGCCCGCAAAAGTGGGAAGAACTTAAATGTCCATCAACGGCAAACATGAACATATAAAATATTCGTGTACACAACTTCGTGACTAAACTAGATAACTCTTGAAAGCAGGAAGTTGAATGCAGAGCTGCAGAAGGATCTGTGCAGTGTGACACCTTGTATGTGAAGTTTAAAAATAGTCTAAACAATGTAACGTTGATGCAATGCACACCCATACCACGAGGCAGAAAAGTATTATATAAAAATATGGATGACGCGAAAACACATGAACTTCTGAAATGGAGGCAGAAGAGAGGGAGTTGAAAACAAAGAGGGCTTTCCCTCCCCTGGTCTTTCAGGGCAAAATATTGAGAATGGTCCACCAGCAAAAAGATTACAATTCACTGGGAAAAAAAAAAAAAAAGGTTCTATCTTGGTGGTAGCCGTACAAGTGTTGCTTGTATTATCTCCTGTTTTGGCTATGTGTTCGAAATGCTTTGTTGTTTTTAAAAAATTAATTCTCGTGAGGGAATAAAAACTGCTTAATCTCCATATTAAAGTGGGCAGTAATTCAAAAAGCATTTTTACTAATTGATGTCTGTCACCCATGCATAGCAAGCAGTCAGTGTGGGCGGCTGAAGCACAGGGCTCTGGGGCTGACTCTGAGGCAGACTGCCCAGTCCAGCTCTGCCACTTCCCAAGTGGTAGGTTTAGACAAGCTACTTAATCTCTTTTCGCCTTGGTTTCCTGAATCTGTTTAGGTCATTAAATATGAAATGTCCGATTTCAAATCAAAAGGATAGTTTATTATATCTCAAACAAGCAGCAGTACAATTAATCAAAGCAGGTTTCTAAAGTATTGACACGGTTTTGCCATCTTAACGGTGGCTTGTTTACACCAGCAGCGAAAAAGCCTGGAGAGCATGTGGTGATGAAATCTCCAAAGGCGTTTTCCACACCTTGGTGAGAATTGAATATTTTTCCCTGCAAGAGTGGTCCAAAGCCTGGAAGAAGTGGTAGTCTGTTGGTGCCAGGTCTGGTGATTATGGTGGATGACAGGGAGTTTCCAAGTCCAGCCTCTGTAGTTTGAGCAGTGTTGTTTGTGGGACATGTGGTTGAGTTTTGTCATGCAAGAGGATTGGCCTGTCTCTATTGACCAGTCTTGGCTGCTTAATTCCAAGCATCCTCATCATTTCGTCCAGTCGGTTGCAGTAGACATCCGCTGTAATCGACTGACCAGGTTTCATGAAGCTGTAGTGGATAATAGCAGTGCTGAACCACCAAACACACACCATTAGCTTTTTTTTTGATGAATATTCAGTTTTGGACTATGTTTCAGCACTTCATCTTTATCCAGCCATTGTGCCGAATGCTTGTGATTGTCAAAAAGAATCCATTTTTCATCACATGTAACAGTACAGTGAAGAAATGGTTCACCTTTATGTTGTGACAGCAAAGAAAGGCAAGCTTTGAGACGATTTCTTTTCTGACCCTCATTTAATTCATGCGGAGCACATCTATCCAGCTTCTTTATCATGCTGATTTGTTTCAAATGGTCCAATATTGTTGGAATAGTAACATCAAACCTTACTGCTAATCCACGTGTAGGTTGAGATGGATTTGCTTCCATTCCAGCTTTCAGCTCATCATTATCCACTTTGGTCTCAGGTCGCCCACATGGCTCATTTTAAAGATTAAAATCACCAGAACAGAATTTCTCAAACCATAGACATACTGTGCGTTTATTAGCCACATCCTTCCCAAACACTTTGTTGATATTTCAATCTCTCTGCACTGCATTGGTTCCATGATGGAACTCATTTTAAAATGTAACGTGAATTTTTAACTTATCCATGGTTTCACAAAATTTAAAATTTAAATTTTAAAAGAATTTGCAAGATAGTCACAAGCCAAAATGTGCGTTTGAAAGACTGAGGATGTACCTTCACAATAAACATAAAACAAGAATTGTCAAAGTGAAATGTCAGAGATATCAACTGTCAAACAGTACTTAAAGAAATTGTACATTTCATACTTAATAACCTAAAATGCTCCAACCGCTGCTATTCCTCCTGCTGCTGGCATTAGTGCCTACTTCATAGCATTGTTGCAATAAGAGGATAAATTACTGTGCATAAAGCACTTAGAAAAGCAAGCACTACATAGGTGGACTTTATTATTATTATCCCTGGATATGATCTACTATTCGGAGAGACACTAGTTATTTATTAGATGTAAGGGGGCGTGGGGGATGGATAAGGTTTGTTTAAAGAAATCATGTAAGTAGATGTTGTTTGTTGCTCTTCTGCAGTGAGACAAAAATACCTCTCCGATCTCCAAAATTAACCTGTTGATTTGGAGATGATTCACCCCCCAGTGATTTCACAAGTATGTGCTTCACTTAGCTCTGGTAAGTAAAATTATCAGACACTCATTCACTTTTCAGAGCTGGCTGTAAAATCAATATGAAAAGCAAAATCAATATATAATTCCATCGAAATATATAGAATTCCCTCTAAAAATGAAAGCTACATCTATCTTTGTTTTGATGACTATGTAGTATTTTTCTATCACCTAAGACTCTCCCTTTTGTATTGTAAAAAAAAAAAAAAAAAGATGAAATGTAACTCCCCTAGCTAGGTGGAGATTTAAATTGAGGCCTATTTAATGTTTCAGGTAAGTGAGAAATCACAGCCATTAGGGAGCCAGGGGCAAGGTTTTGAAGGCAGACACAGGAAGGCAAAGATTGCTGGCTTTGTCTAGCGTCTGGTGAACTTGGCCCCAACACAGCAGCTCTGCTCCTTATTAGACAAATAGCTTTGAGTGAATTATTTAAATCTCCTGTGACTCAGTTTTCTCATCTGTGAAATGGAATTCACAGTCCCTCTTTTGCAGTATTGTTGTGAGGATCAAATAAATGGTGTACACCACCTTAGGTACATGATCTGTGCTCGGTAGTTATCCTTATCTCTGACATTGTCATTAACTAAGTTATGGATTGCTGAATGCTGATGGGTGGTGGATTGGAGGACCTAAGACAAGATGTGATAAGAAGCTGAAAGTTTTTACAGTTCACACCGCCAATCTCTCTTCACTTTACCTGAAACGATAAATTATTGCAAAGCCAAGGAATGAAAAAACATAATCTTCGTCTTGATCAAATGCTGCTTTTAAAGTATAATCATTCAGTGCAAGGCACTCAAGCAATCTGAATCTGTATCCTGTTCTGTCTACCACTGCTTTTGTGTGTCCTTATTCAGCACCTTAAAATGTCCAGTGGAGCTAGGAAATTTCATCATTCTTGGTCCTCCCAATTTGGGTGTCTCTGGTAATTCAGTCCTTCCTCCTTCTAACCTCCACCCCAATCCTACTGCACCCAAGCCTGCCTCTGCTTTCCTGCCTTGATTTTTAAATAATTCATTCTTTGGGTGGGGGAGAAGGAGTGGTTTGGAGGTCAGCCACAAAGGGGAGAGGGAATCCCAAGAGAGAGAGAGAGAGTGTGTGTGGCTCTGACTAAAGGGAATAGAGAATCCACTTCTGCCTGCTCAGTAGATGTTTGCATTTTGAAGGAAGAGCCCATTCATCCCTCAGGATGCCTAACTGGCTTATTATTCCAGGAGATGGGTCTTTCATCAGTTCTTACTTGCTGGAAATAGACAGTTTGCATGGAAGATGGGAAGCTCAGGGGAGGACAGGTGAGGATTGAAGTGTCCTACTAGACAGGCTGCTGTGGCCATCTCCACCCCGGCGCCTGTAACTCAGGGCTGACTTCATCTGTGCCGGCTCTTCCTCCCAGATGCCTATTTCAGTTTGTGGTCCCTTAACATACACCCCCTCGCCCCACCCTGTCTCTCTTCCAAGCTGGAAGAAACACCATCCTCGCCTCATCCCTCTGCCCCAACAGGCATCCATGATGCCCCTTATCAGGCTCTCTCCTGTCACCCAAAGGACATGCTGCAGATCAAAAACACACAATGCGTTTAACTTTCCTGCTAATTGCCATGGCCTCCTGCTGCCTTTGAGGGATATCTCAAGGCAAATAAAACTGTTTGAAATCTAAACTTCAAATCATCCTATTAAAGTTTTTGAGATTTTTACGGCCCATTTCTTGTCACATCTGATTAGCTCAATACTTTTGCCTTGTAGTTGGGCTGCAGCAAAGCTCTTGGCAGGAGGAGCACAGATAATCGTCCCCTCTGCCGTTTCCTGGCTGTTCATTTGTGCTTGTGCGATTAACGCATCGTCTTCGGCCCTCAGTTTTGTTTCTTGCAGGAATCTTTTGAAACCACTGGTCCACTTTGCAAGGGTTAGTTTAGTTAGGACTGAATAATATAATCAGGGAGTCTGTTTAACCAGGCATATGTAAACATATGCTGAGATAAATCAAAACCGCTGAAAGGGAACAAACAAGTGAGGGATTCACTAAACACCCCTTTCCCTCCGCCCTCAGAAGGCCACACAACAGTGAGCCCCGTGGCCAGTCTGTGTATTAAATAAGAGTAAAGCTTAGTTTATCTCATTACTAAAAAAAGGAAACAGAAAGAGAAGCTCTGATATTTCTGTTTGTGCACCCCAACAGTGGTGCCTGGTGCAGGCCACTGCCCTTTTAAGTCATGGTGACCACACCGGTAAGACCCACAGACTGCTTGCTTCCCGTTGCAGCCGGTGGAAATTTGGGGGACCTCGGGTCTCCCCAGAAGCAGGGGGGAGCTCAGGGGTCTGTCCTCAAGGCACCGTCTTTGGAGGGCCAGGAAGGGACCAGAGCCAAGAGGTCCCCAAGGGTGTGCGGCCAATTAACCCGCAGTCAGAAAGATCCGTTCCTTAACCCTCCTAGGTCATCTAACTTTTACTGTGGATGCCTTTTAAAGTATCCCTAAATACCTTTGTTAAGTCTCAAAAAAATGCCATCTCACTCAAGTATGAAAGGAATTGGACCCAAAAAAGGCACTTTTCGTGAACTTCTAAGCTTTGATCATTTCTCTGTGGGGGAGGGGAGGATCGGGTTTTTGGTTCTTCCCTAACTCCAGGGCCTCCACAGTCCCTCAGCAACTTCATTTCATTCTACCTCCCCCAGCTCTGTGCTCTTTCTTTCATATTCCAGGAGTATACAAACAACAGTTTTATACAAGGGAAGGAAAATGTTTTCTTAGTTTGACTCCACTAGAGATGCAACAACTCAATTAGTCTTTCTGGAAACCACAACTGCATTAGGTTCACGTTTCAAAGTACTTAAGGTTCCTTAATAGTCTTGTCCCCACTGCTCCTTAGGGACGACCAAGAACTGAAGCAGAGGCAATGTCTTCTCCAGTAGGAGTTTTATCATTGTCATGGATACCCCATCCTGCAGGGCACCTCACCCCTACAGTAAACTGCTTTGTCATCTTTCACCAGAGAACAGAAGAGGAAATGGGGAGGGATGGGGGGAGGCCATCACTCTCCCCTCCCCCAACCCTGCCGCCCCCTGGCTCCTGGCCCGTATCTGCAGTGAAGGATGGAACATGAGGGACATGACAGGTCCTGCCAGCTTTTCTGAGTGCATCAGCAGCTGAGCAGAAGGCTGGTTGCTCATCATGAAAGTTCAAGTTCAAAGTAGTTTGTGAGCCTGCTCTATCACAAGGAGGCTTGCTTGAGGTTTTCTCGTTTTTAAGGTTTTTTTCTCCCAACGGTTAGTGATTGAGTGCCGGAAACTGGGGCTGCCACGGATCTCCCTCTGCCCAGGGTCTTACCCCAGCCCCTGGGCCTCCCCTTCCGCCTTGCCTGTTCTCTGGGTCCCCTGCCTTGCCAGATGCTGCTCACTCCAGATGGTTTTCCTCTGGGAACCATCTCCACTCCTAACTTCTACTTAACATTTTTAGCTAATTCTCCTTCCTGCCGTCATCTTAAGCTATTTACAGAATGGAAGTGAGCTGGCTATTACAAATAATTTCCCGTTTTATAATTTTGACACAGCTATCCATACTTACATGCAGGTTTTCCACGCACTCCTTAGAGAATTTGCAGAGCCCTGTAAGAGGAGAGAGTGGCCGGGCCATGGCCCTCTCCACCTCTACCTCCTGGGGTGAAGCTTGGAACACTTTTCTCGGCTGTTGCAGAGAGCTCAGAACCCATCTTCTTTTATAACCAGCATTTACTTTATTTTTTTCCCAAAAGTTATTACCTTTTTCTTACCATGCTGAAGCTCAGCTGCCTCTTTTCTGCCCACTCACCCAGCTTGGTGAAGACCTTCCTGCTGTGTATCACCATCACCTTGCAATTTCACCGTCTGAGAGAGCTTCGTGTTTCCTGGAAACCTGGAAACATCGCTTGTGCTCTGGCTGAACATCATTTATAAAAGCAGCAACTCAGACGGGCCCCAGCGCTTTCCCACATGGTGAAGGGCCCACTTAGATGATCTTCTGCTTTCTCTCCTCTGACCAGCTCACAGCCATTGCCATGCCGTTCTCACAACACAGCTCTGGTACTTTTCCCTTCTTTGAGGATGTTCTCAGGGTACTTATTCTCAGTACTCTACCTTCATGTTCCCTTCCTTTTAGCTCTTCCATCAATCCCGGTGTAAGGAAGTCCCATTTTTCCCACAAGGATGAATTTTGCTATAGCCATCATGTTTTGATCTCTATTCTCAGAGATTCTGAGGTATTCTAGACCATTCACTGCCTTTCATGGCTAGAAAATGGGAACTTTTGTTCAAACAAAGGAGCTTTCCTAAAACTTGTCTATAGGATTAAGAGAACAGTTTTTGCCAAGACCTATCCTCGATCTCTTGGGCTTTTTCCACCAACAAACTTATATCCACCAGTTAGTCTTGTTTCCCCTCATACCCCACGCTCTCCCCTGACATTGGGTCCCAAAGCTTAGCTCACACTCTTCCTCTCAGCTGGCAGTGTCCCTCTCTGGTAGGTCCCCAACATGGACCCTCTGCAGAATGCCAAGACAGAAGGATGGAGGGAAGGAAGCCCAAGATTTCCATGTGCAAAATGTCTTCTGAATAGGCCTGCTCCCCCGTGCACTCACTCTCCCTTAAATCATTTGCAACATTATGCATGCGTGGTGGAAACAGTGGCGTTCCGTTGACCAGAGTGTCTTGATTTTATTTATCTGAGTCTTATTCCAGTATTTCCTATAATGCATATCAGAGAATGCGGTATATATGCATATAGATGTAGATGTGTGTGCCAGTAAGTTTGGGAGGTGGTGGACTAACCAAAACTCTACAGGTGTCTCTACTGCATGACTTCTCAAAGGCTTAATAAGCTACCCTGTGTGGTGGGCCATCGAGAACAAGCCATCGTATACAGTCCACCTACAAACTCATTGAACTGGCCACAGAACCTTCTTTCCTGGAGCATTTAACAGGTCGCATGGTATATAGATGTTGGAGCACGTCGTCATAAATTAGTGGGTCCTACGTTC